CCAGTCCACTCCATGCCCCCTCCTTTGGAGCCCAAGGTGAGTGGCTGCACAGGAAACTTTGTGCATTGGCTCTTTAGGAGGGTGCCTGCAGTGCCAGCTGCCTCTCCCTGGCAGACAGAAACCCAGCTGCTTTTCACAGCCAGATGTTATGTGGGCACCTTTCTCGGTTCTGGTGCTCTGGGCTGGGAAGCCCAGCCTGGGGTTGAGGCCCCAGAGTCCTCAGTGGGAACCCCCACAGCTGAGGTGTCCCTCTGGACCTTCAGCTGCTGCCTGTGGGAGCCCAGGCAGCCCTCTCGCGCGTCATTTCCTACCAGGCTTTGTGTGGTCTCCACCTTTCCTCCTTGGTGATGAGGGTGCTCTCCAGCTCATCTTCAGTTGGTTTTCAGGATGGTTTTTCTGTTTTAGTTGTAAATCCACACCGGCCCCAGGAGAGTGTCAGTGTAGCTTCCACGCAGTCCGCCGCCACCTTGGATCTCCCTCCTCTATGCATTTTTATAATATATATTCACACTGACCGGAAAGTGTTCTTCATCCTTATTCATATTTGATAAGAATTAACTTTACACTTTTAAGGCCATGCCATGAATTACTGACTGGGCCAATATTCAGGGCAAGAACTACTTTACCCACAGAGCCTAGTGATCAATGCTAAATACCAGCATTCCTGTAATTTTTACATTTTTTCCAACTTTAGTGACAATATCTCTTATCTTTCACATTAGCAATGAGGCTGAGCAAGTTATTTATCTCTCCATACCTCAGTTTATCCATTTGAAATAGTAATTATACTCAAATGAATAATATATATATATGTCATGAGGATGAAATAATTTGTTATTAGCAGTGTGTGGCACATACTAAATGCTCACGAAATACAAGACTTACTTTAATTATTTGTGTTAACCTGATTTTCATGTAGACTTTAATATTCCTCTATCCAAATTTAATTTGATTTAATTTAAATTAAATTAATTTGAGTATATTTGGGGGCATCTTCTGGCTTTAATCAAGTTATCTGAAAAAATATCCAATATACAATGGATAGTCTAAAACATTAATTATTGCCTATTACCATTGGTAAATAAGGGAAAAAAGTATCAGCTTGCTCATTAACTTAAACTGCTCTGTGAAGCCAGCAAGAATAACAAAATGTGGACAAAGCAACATTACCTGTCCACAGAATGTTTTCATTCTATGCTCCTTAAACACTGTCATTGAGGCAATAATAAACTAGTCATACTTCACTGGCTTCTGATATGATTCCTTTTAAGTAAACAGATGATTTTGTAGCTGGCTCTTTTGTAATGGAAAAAAAGCAAGAGACATCATAAAAGATCTTAACTCTGGTCAATGACTGGGGTGTTGTTTTGAATATAAACTAGCATATAAGATGAACAAGAGACACAAATAGTGTCCCAGAAACAGTCATACAGTTAAAAAAAAAAAAAAAAAAAATCCTTATATAACTAAAACCATATTTCCTATGGAAAATGCCTGTTTATGTAAGCATATTTTCTTATAGTCCTGTGTAATTTTATTTATTGATTAGCTTGAGTGCTTTTAAACATTTACATACCCCAAACATATTATTTTTCAAATTTGAAATGCATGTGCTGAGGTGTGCTTATATCCACGTGGATATAATAGAATACCCACATGTCTAGGATCAGTTTGATAAAGTATTTTCCTGCTCTAAGCCTCATAAATAAAAAATTCAAAGACATTTTCTATCACAAACAATATTAAGGAAATTTGCAATGCTGGAATAATGCCTATCTCCATGTAGCTTATTGTTCACTTAGTATTACAGAATTAAATTTATGAGTGTTTTATTTAGACTTATTATTATGTAATGAGGGAGACATGCTTTTCTTCATCTCAATAAATAAGAAATAACTTTGCTCTCTTTTTGTATTGATCAACCAACTGATGAATCAAAATACATGGATACATCAATTAAGAGATCGATAGACTGATAATTTTTACAAAGGACCCACACTAAATGAGAGTGAGGTAAAGACACCTTAACTTTCTGACCTCTCTGAAATCAACTGAATAATGCAAAATAACAAATGAAAATAACTTTGATTAATTTTTTAAATATCCTCAGAATGATTGTATTTTAGATTGACAGATTTCACACACACAATAGCCTCCTTTTTCCCAATAAATGAGGTTAAAGAAGAATTGGAAAGAGGCAATTAGAAGATGAAAGATTTAAGAACTTATAGACATATACACCATGGAATACTATGCAGCTATAAAGAAGAAGGATCTCATACCCTTTGGGACAGTATGGATGGACCTGGAGAATATAATGCTAAGTGAAATAAGCCAGGCAGAGAAAAACAAACATCACATGATCTCACTTATATGTGGAATCTAAAGAACTTAATAAACTGATGAACAGAATAGATTCAATGACATGGAAGCATAGATCAGACTGACGAATGTCAGAATGATGGAGGAGGGCGGGTGAATGGAGGGGGAGGGAGTAACCAAAGAATGTATATGCATATATGCACAGCCCAAGGACACAAACAATGGTGGCGAGAAGGATGGGGAGGGGGTGGAATGGGTCATTGGGGAGAAAAAGGAACATCTGTAATATTTTAAACAAAAATAAAATTTAAAAAAAGCACAGGGATTTTGAAATAAAATGAAGGCCATTGATGGGTAAAATGGAGAAATCAACCACATCCAATCCAATGGCTTAGAAGAGTAAGTAGTTGATGAGTCTCACAGTGCCCTAGAGGAGCTGCAGCCTCTGATTCATAAGGAAAAAACAGAGGAAGAGACCTGCAAGGGCAGGATTGGGAAAAGTGACTAAAGTATGGTATTATCAATGGAAGTCTGTCCACAGAACCACAGAACTGGTTAGCTCTCAATACTCACTATTTACCTCTTCCTCTCAATGACAGAATGCAGTCAGCACATGTTTTATCTCCAGGGACAAGCATTAGAACACTATATTGTTTTCTAAAGCGATTGAATTAAAGATGACTACAGAATTTGGGCTTCTCAAATGATCTGCCATAAAATAGGTATTATCCAATTAAACTTTTGTAAGTGCCATAGCCTAAAAGTCAGTTTTCAAAATGAAGACTATCATGTGACAAACCCCAGTCACACAAAGCTGCCAGTTAGGTTTCTTTAATAAAAAATGGTGTGGGAGTAAAAACTCATGGCAGCTTAAAGCTCCTATTGAANCCTCCCTCCCTTCCAATAGATTAATAATTTTTACAAAGGACCCACACTAAATGAGAGTGAGGTAAAGACACCTTAATCATAACACATAAATAGCTTACACCTTGTAAATTTTATATATGTCTAATCACTATGCTGTGCACCTGAAACTAATAGACTATTGAATGTCAACTGTTATTAAAATATAAAATTTTAAAACAATAGCTCAATATTCAATGATATATTTATTTAATCACAAGTTAGGTGAAGCATTTTCATGTTCCTTAGTCATATATGTTTAATTTCATGAGATTTTTTTTGCACTGATGTATAATGAGAGATAGGTATGTACATGAGTGTATATAAAGGGAAGACATATTACTTTATGATGTTGTGGATACAAAAGGGGCCATATACTAAACCTGACAAGCTCAGGGGAGGCCTGCATGGTGGATCTTACAAACTCAGAGGCCAAAAGTAACCACACAGAATGGTCCGAAACTAAAACTTTCTAGCTAAAAATGTGTCAGTGTGACCTACGCTATCTTCCTTGACAAAGTCAGCTTTTAACTGAGCCTGCAGATTGTCTTTTTGCATCTAAAATAACATACCTATGGAACGTCAGAGTAATCTCCTCTTCCAGACCCCTCAGGGCACAGCCACTGCACCAGAGCAGTAGACCACAGAACCCCTCATTACCTTATTCCCACACACCATCTCTATGTGCTGTAAATGTTCATTATTGACTATCCTGTACCCACCATTGTATAAGAAGTATGTGTCTATTTGTTTTACTTTTTATCCAGTCTTAGAGATTTCCCAGCTTTGCTTTCTCCAGCCTCCCTAATCTACCACCAACGAATGTGAGGTAGCCACACTTATGGTTTCTCCTTTGATTCTGACACATAAAATAAACAATAAAACTGCTATTCCCCAGAGCATTTCCTTTGAGATTTTGCTTCTTGGCAATTGTGAGTTCGGTTCAAATAAACTCTTATAACATTTTTCTTAGATTGGACATTCTTTTGTGGAAAATGTAGTCAGTACCAGTATGTTCCTTTGTGATTACTTTATTATTTTTGCGTAAAAATGTCTTTTCCCATTCTGAAATGTTTACTCAATTCCCCTTTCTTCTTATTTTTCATTCCTTAAAATACTGTTTTCAATATAAATTATGTTAATTAAAATGTAAGGTAAGTATACACTTTTAATTTTAATAATCTTTCGTCAACTATTTTTAGTGGTAATAGTTTAAATATCACTTATCTATTATGTTTCTAAATTTTTTTTAAGAAAAAGAAATGAAATAAAGCTTAGATTCTGTTTTATTATTGTATTTTGTGGGAGGGCCAGATTTTTAACAAGTATACTATACCTTCGGAGAAAGAATTAGGGGAGTAGGCTAATAAGCAAATAAATGTTTTACTTTCCTTATAAATAATTCTCATCAATTACTATAAGACTAAATATTTGTTTGTTTTTGTTACTGCTGTTCTTATTATTCAGATTGTTCCATTTCACTTTTTTAGTGTATTATTTGATTCCTTTTTAGTTCTTTGTTTACACAAACTATTGCAGACCAAATCCTAGCCTAATGAAGAGGCTTTGACTCTCAAGTGTGAGAAAACCAGTTTGAATATCTATAGCAAAATTCATAAAAAATGATAGGAAAGCAAGTGTTCCTTTGATCAACAGAAAGTCTGATCTTTGAATCTTACGATACAGGAACCAGTTTGTAAAATTGTAAATAAAAAAATCTTAATCTCTCTCTCTCTCTCTCTGTCTCATGCACACAGACACATACACACACTATATTTAGAATTAAGTAAAATTTATATTTACCATATTTTTATCACATATAGTACCATCCACTATATAGCTTAGATCCACACCTGGAGTATTATTTCTTTTATGTGCTGACATACATATTTGGCCGCCAAGGAAAGTGTACTGAATATCATAATTTGTTAATGATGCTATCTCTGTATGTGTCCAGTGACAAACTATCTTTGCACAAAGGGTATCTCTGGAAATATAAAGCAGAGAAAATTTCCCATATGTCACTCTGGGGCACAATGTATTAGGTAAATAACAATTCAAAATATGAAGATAATTCAAAATGTTACTCAGATCATAACAACAAAGCTATTCAGAGCAGACACCATCTTATGAAGTACAACATATAAACTCATCTGTATGTACTATATTCATCTCTCATTTGAATTAAGTGAATCATTGTAGAAAACACATACACGAAAACACACACACACAAAAACACATGCATTTGGAAATGAATAGTTTTTAAAATACACACGTTATAACACATGGGCCGTTATGACACTTTCCAAAGTCATCTCCTAGATAATTGATTTCTTCTGCACATAAATAACTAGAACCTTTAGAAACTAAAAACATAAAATTACAATTAGTCATTTTAAAAACATAAAACTAAAAATGTGATACATTAATATAGAAACATCTAGATAGCAGCAATGTCTAGTCAGTGCCATCTACTACAAATTTTTGATGTTACTTAGTGGCTCTTCAAGAATGAGAAACACTCCCTAAAAACTACCCACTTGAGAAAATTTGGTATCATCTTGCAGAAATGACAACACAGTCATTTGCTCTCTTATCTACAATTCTAATAATCTGCTTCCTTTGACCAGTCACCTGAAATTTTACTAATGCCCTATTGTCCTTGTCCTATACTTATGAAGCCCACTTTGCCTCTTGACATAATTCAAAGATACTTTGATTTGCAATTTTACTTTCAAATTTGGATTTAAATAAACAATGCCTTTTCTTGTGGCTTATAGGGTGAATTACTGATTTTAAAAAAACACAGTTTAAAAATGAACCCCAGCCCAGCCAGTGTGGTTCAGTGGTTGAGCGTCGACCCAGGAACCAAGAGGTCACTTGTTTGATTCCTAGTCAGGGCACATGCCCAAGTTGAGGGCTTGAACCCTGGGGTGGGGGTGGGGGTAGGGGTGAGGGCAGGGCAGGGCATGCAAGAGCTTGCCATCAATGACGTTTCTCTATAATCCATGTTTCTCTCTATATCCCTCTTCTTTCCCATCTCTCTAATAATCAATAAAAACATATGTTTAAAAAAATGAACCCCAGAAAAAAACCCACAACTATTACATTTTCCAAATAACTCCATACACTGTCTACTCGGATCTCGGCATATTCCCTTATAGCAAAAGGCGGTTTTATTACTACATAGTTCATAATCAAGAGATTTCATATCATCTACACAAAACTCAGATGTTCCAGTGCAATATTCTGTAAAATCACATGGATCTTGGCTTATCCGACATATATGTCCTCTTGGGAATAACTGTGAGAAAAAGAAAAACAAATAGTGTGTTTTTTGGTAATACATTTTATCCAAAGATCTTAAAGTGCTTCACACATTACAATTAATCAAGTCTCACTACTACTCCAAGCAAGGTATTACTATCAGCTATGAGAGTTTAGATCAACTGTCATTATAGTTAAGAATGATGAGAGATTAAGTGATTTGTCAAAGATCATCCACTACTTCAGTACTGGAGAGGTACAACTCAGGTTCCTGACTTACACTATTAACATTAAGCACAGCCCCTGTGCATGGTATCCACTGAGCACGGCACCCTTCTTTTGAAATAATTTACGATATGCTAACCTGTTATGAAGTTTAAGTGAACATGAACATAATGGCATCAGTTCATGTACTCATACCCAACACCAAATTTGGAGGCAAATATGCATGTAATTTTCTGAAAGATGGGGAAATGTTAAACACAGAAGTTAGCATCATTATTTTTTCTCATCAGAAAATGTCATGTTACCTTTAAAAAAGTGTTGAACTCTCTCTCATTGTTCCTAATAACTTCAAACGTAAGAACAAAGGGAAACTGAAAGTGGGGGCTGCTACCAAAGCAGCAGTTCTAGGACGAAGTCTTTTCACAAGGTTGCTCAGGTTTCGTGATTGCACCTGACTGTTTGAGACAAAGGACATTGTTGATTTCTTTTTTTGATCTTTCTGAAACAAATATTTTTGTAAAGCACTAACCAAAAATGTAAGAAGATTAAATAAGAGAATTGTGTTGGTAACTCTCATTTGGATTCTATTACGTTTTTAGATACTTAAGGAAAATTATAAATTTACTTCTAGAGAAGTAGACTGGAAAGAACCCAAATACCCATCAATTTTCACCTCATTTTTTAAGAAGGGTCTAGTGAAAGATCTCATAGTTACAATGCTGTGGTTATACTAAATACTTCAAGATAAATAGAAAATATCTAATATCAAACTATGCATATTTATTTTTCAACTTTTGACTCTTGGGGACTAACCGCACACCTGAAATGCTGCACTAACTCAGAGGCTAGTCTTTACCATATTTCTAAAATATTGCTAAATGGGCTTCTTTTTCACGTCAAGTAATTTTTCTTTCAGGACCTATTCCACCTCTACCACAAGAGGTTATAAATCATGAATCTGCTTCTGACTCAGGATGATAATCAGAACACTTCTCCCTAGACAGTGAATGGAACAGTGGTGGAAATTTAACTCAGCAGGGTCAGTCTTGCTTTCCTCCATTACCAAGCACTGAGGCAGATGTTGGGAAAGAAAGGATCTTTCTGTTCTTCCGAAATATTGTACCATGAACTAGAAAAGCCAGGAGGTGCAGTGAGCTCTCGGCATTATATATGCAGAAACCTTGTTTGAGACCTGTTAACAAAAATGTGAGGCTATTGAATGGGTGTATAGAATAAGACCTCTATCGCTCCTGCTTGAAATGCTCACCTGAGCATGAAGTTAGACTCATCTTTTACCTAAGCTTCGTAAGTGTCTGTTTTCCTTTGCTTGGCTATCATCAAGATACAACCTTTTGGGACAGCATGGGTGGACCTAGAGAGAATTATGCTAAGTGAAATAAGCCAGTTAGAGAAAGAAAATGCCATATGATTTCATATACTTATAAGTGAAATCTAATGAACAAATGAAAAAAACAAGCAAAATAAAACAGACTCAGACATAAAGAGAACAGAAGGACAGCTGTCAGAGGGGAGGGGGGTTGGGGGCTGGGTGAAAAAGGTGAAGCGATTAAGCAGTACAAATTGGTAGCTGCAGAAGAGCCAGAGACACAGTATGCACCATGGAGAATACAGTCAAGAATGTCAAGAAAACGGTATGGGGCCAGGTGGGCAGCAGGGGGACAACTCTGGAGAGTGCTGTTATCTGAAACTGGTGTGGCATGGCATTGAATGTAAACTGTGGCTGAAACAAACAATAATTAAAATGAAATAAAATAAAATGAAATAAAATACTGAGTAGGTAAGTGTGGGCTGTGTTTTGATTTATGTTCTTTACAAAACAAATTCTAGAATATTTTTATATTTTTATTTTA